CAACTGTGATCTTGAATGTGTACGTGTTAAAGTAGCCCCGAGGACCCCTTATAATTAATTTTTTTTTGCCGACCCCCAAACCTATCGGTGTTTTTTTTGTTTTGGAAAAAAAAAAAAAATTCTGTGTGCATAAAAAGCCCTATTCTAAAATTAAATGTTTTGGTTCATAGTAACATAATTTTACGAAAAAAAGTATTTTTTATGCTATACATAAAATTTAAAAAAAAATATTTTTTATGAAATTTCGGACATGAATCGCGAACTCCAGTTTCAAAAACGCTAATTTATAGAATATATATACATTAATATTTTGTTGAATAAGACCGATGTCTGTAGGTTTACTTTCTTCTTGGAAATCTTTTCAAGAAGAAAACGGCTTATCGACTTCTTGAGAAGATTTTCAAGAAGAAAGTAAAGCTACAGACATCGGTCTTATTCAACAAAATCTGCCTACAAGAAAATCTGTCACCAAAGTACACCAACATACATTAATATTATAAACATTGAAACTAAGCAACAGGTGTAACAGAACACTATGTTTAGTAACGCGAGAAAAATATGATAACATTTGAGAAGTTAATATACAAGAGGTTTTCTATACCATCTGTTGGGCAATTGTTCGATAACCGATTCGGACAGTTGTTTCATAGCAAAGTAAATCTTGAGCAGTTGTTCGGTGTTTGATTCCTCTCTCCCGTCACGAGAGTCGGTGTCTTTTGGTTCCTGAGAGAGTTTCATGATTCTAGATTTCAACTCCTTTTTAGTCTTAAAAATATGAAAACAGGAGTTATATCTTCAAAAGTTATTTTCTGATCATTAAAAAATAAAACCTTACAGAACAATTGTGTTATTATAAAGATATATATACATTTAAATCCACATACACGTGTTATTACAAACAGAAATATATATATACACACACACATTTAAATCCATGTACGTATTACAAACAGGAATATATATATATACACACACATTTAAATCCATGTACGTGTTATTACAAACAGGAATATATATATATACACACACACACATTTAAATCCATGTACGTGTTATTACAAACAGGAATATATATATATACACACACACATTTAAATCCATGTACGTGTTATTACAAACAGAAATATATATATATATACACACACACATTTAAATCCATGTACGTATTACAAACAGGAATATATACACACACACATTTAAATCCATGTACGTATTACAAACAGGAATATATATATATTTAAATCCACATACACGTGTTATTACAAACATAAATATATATATACATTTAAGTATATAAACGTTTTAAAAACTATTATGAGTTGAATAAAGTATTCCTAGACGTGATATAAAAGCCCTCACCACTCGATCCAACTGTTCGTATGTCAGGAAAGTGTACGATGTTCTCCAAATTCTAAACAAATTATAATAACCTAGCTTTTTTACTCACTCTGACTATTAATATATTCTTCTTTACTTTTAACTATATATATAAATAGGATATGTTCAGTTACATTAATTATATACAAATTATTCGATTTTGTGAACAAAACATACGATATTTTCCCTCTTATTTTAGCTACGGTTTGAAAACAAGTATTTTCATCTGGAGAAACTTATGAAAATTAGACGTAGACGAAACGCGATAAAAATGGTTGAACTTACAAAAAAATATATTTCATATACGAATTCACGACTTTCTTAAAGATATATTGTTTATTTAGGCCTGTATGTAGTTTATGTATACACGCAATAAATACCTCTACTTCAAATTCGATGACGAGGAACCCAGTTTGAGACTAATAATGTCTGGAGACGGCTTGAATGGGTAATGAAGAAAAACTTTAATATAAGTTTAACATAACAGCAAATGTACAACGTTTCGTCATCATCAGGTGATGATGACAAAACCTTGTCGAAACGTTGTACATTTGCTGTTATGTTAAAACTTATATCAAAGTTTTTCTTCATTACCCATTCAAGCCGTCTCCAGACATTATTAGTCTCAAAC